TCCTGAAGACATAGAAAGATAAAATATGGGTTTTTAGATTTTTTTTCCTTGATAAGATTGTAGTTTAAATATCTGGACACTTAAATAAAGGAAATTTTTACTTAATTAGGCTTGGGAGAAGAGTGGAAAATAGTTCAACAGTTTCATCTTAACAGTAACACAAGCCACAAAGCCTTTTCAGGCTTCCTTTCTCATAGCTAATCCCCCAACACTGAAGATTCATTTGGGGGCTTTTTTCTCTCTTTCTACAAACAGAATAAAACAAGGTAAGTTTAAAAATTCTTTATTTGAATTTTAGAGAAATAACAGGTATTATATTATAAAGACTTGCTTGAAAGTATGAAATAGTCTGTTGTTATTATTTCTTTAGGTTTTGCAAACCAACATCATTATTAAGGGAGAGAATGGTACATCTCTCCTCCTCATCTTTAACACGTTCTTCAGTTGGCATGGGTACAACCTGAGCAAAAAGATCCTGGTGAAATGGTATCTCTGACATTCCCTCCTCAGTTCTAATGGCTCCATGGATGAAGCCCTACTGGACTTAGATCAGCCATACTTGCCAAAGTGGTAACAGGAAACCAGTGCCTCAAAGGCTAGTAGTGCATAGTAGTTTTCATCCAAAGCTCTGTTTCCCCATCATCTCCTCTGTCCTGGTGACTGGCCTGGAAATTATGGCAAGTATGAGTTAAAATGGACCAATACACAATTGCTGTGAAAGTCAACCTGCTAATCTCTAGCTGGGATTAACATAAAGGGGATATGCCAAGCCTCCTGGTTTATTCAACTTCATTGAGAGCAAACAGCACAACAGTGTTGTTTGTTGGCCTTGGCAAATGATAAACTATGATTTATTTACTCCTTAGTTACCAAGTCTAATATAATTAAAAGTATTTTAGTGTGCTAAATCCCTAATGCTTAAAGTTCGTAAACCAATATGTTGAGAATGGCACCCACTGTGTGACAGTGGCTGGCCATGACATGGATTCATACGTAAGATCAAATTTCCTAATCAGATATCTTTGTCATTCTTCTTTGCATAAATTCGATTGCATCTAATAACACAGATATTAGAACAAACTGCCGAAAGTGCTAGTCTTACCCAAAATAAACTGTTTTAAGCTTAGTCATTAAAAAGATAAGAACAGAACACACTTTACTTTCTTTTTTCTAGGTAGGAGAAAACCGCTTTTCTTTTACAAGCATAGTTCCTTTTGGATTCTGGCAACATCTTTTTGGATAGTCCAGTATTATTTCCTAGAAAATTAAAAATCAATCCCAGTCCCTGTGGGTGGAAGGAAATGGGAATATTCATTTCCAAATGTTATTAGGGGTGGGAATGAACATTTCTTATATTTCATTCTCTATCTTTTAGGCTTTATTCTTGTTTTTAAAAGTTATAATTGGTATTCATATTAGCAGCAACAATCCTAATTTCTGTAAGTTAAAACGACTCAGGACTGATGAAAATAACATTTTTGGTAAGGAATATGGAGTCCACAGGTGGTAATAAGTGTCTATCAATTTTGGCAATTAACAATCTTATTTAAGAGGTTAATTGGTATGAAATAGCCAATAGTTAATTGGTATGAAATAGCAAATAGCCAATGAAAAGATCTCAGTTGGCTGAAGGAAGCTGAGTCAGCCCATTAGTATGCCGTGGAAAGAGGGCTTTCATGGCTGGAAAATTTCCCATGACTTCAGAGTGAAAGGGGGCATCGCATCAGGCTCTAGCTCTTCAGGCTGTGAAAGCAAAAGTGGTTACTTCTAATATGTTGTTGAAAGTGAAAGTCACTTTGAAACTTTGCAATGTGTTAGAAAGTCAAATACAATTACAAGTTTTTCCTGTAATACATTTCTGTCAAGTTTCACAACCTGAGCTTAGTAAAATGGCAAGAATCAAAAAATAGTAGGAAAGTGGCAAAGAGCTTGAGAGTTTTCCAGTTTTAACGATGCTAAATGCTGCCACGGCAGTCTCACCAGCCTCTTGCTGCGGTGACTACCGGGGAATACACACTGGGGAGGAAGGTTCAGGCCAAGAGGATTTAATCAGGATGATGTCTCTTTAAAAAATGATTTGAAAAATCAATTTGAATCCCAAGTTCCTTGTCTGTTTCTAAATTTGCTTGGAACACTTAAGAATGACTCACATAACATTGCTTTCAAATACCTCCATGTCTACTTCTTACTGGCAAGAAATGGCAAAGAAATGCCAGTTTTGTGCTGGAACTTGTAGTCATTTTTTTTTTTTAATTAGATGATGCTCTGAGTTTTATAATTATGGTCTGAGTTTTATATTTATGGGGGATTTTTTACTTGTGAAAACACAAATCCCACCCAAAACTCAATGTGAAATTTCTGTACAAGCATGGCAAACAACAGATTTGTTTCAAGGTTGATTCTTTCACATTAACTCCTAACTTTGGAGTTAGTTTACACTAACACTCTAACGAAGCTGTGTCCCTGTACTGCTGGACATAAGTCAACCCCAAAGGGACAAGCTCCTAACATCTGACTCAGTAGTTAACATGAGGAAACATCCACTTACTTCCATTAAGCCTTAAAAATTTGGGACTTGCAGAAAGACTGTTCCTATCAGCCTCCACCATTACTTCTCCAGACTGCATTATTGTTAGCCCAAAGAGTACAAAATCATCTAATAACAGGAGGACCTGCCTCCTCCATGAGTTTATCTAATTGTCTCATAAGCTTGCAAAATCCCATTTAAAATTTAATAAATAAAAAATACACATATTACCCATAATTTCTGGCTGCAACCCCCAAAAGGCAATCCCACCCAAAAAAAAAATTAATCTGGCATGGCAACTTCTCATTTCCTAAAGGGACTTGTGCATACAAACATTAAAATAAAAACTACAATTGTGCCTAGGGATTCATTATAGCTTTGCCAGCAATTTAAAAAGTAGATTGCTTCTTTGCATTTGTCAATTTCCTTTCACTCATTTCCTAAAACTCTACCCTTAGGAGAATCCTGTTCCCTCATCTCAAAGATCCATTCAAGAATAGGCAATGACAAAGAGCGGAAGGGCTAGTGAGACAGAAAAGAAGGCAAAGCTCCCAGGCTGCTCTGGGCGGCACCTCACAGGCACCCCTAGTTCTGTGGCAGGGCTGCCGGCCTGCTACCACCTTCCTGCTCTTCGGTGGAGACTCCCTCCCAACCGCTACCCACCTTTTCACCTGGAAGACAGGGACTAACGTTGGTGAATATGACATAACCAAAATCTTCCATCTGAGGAGTTGGTAAAATGATCACAGAAAAAGCTGGGAATTGAGAGATGAAGTAAAAGTGAAGCGCTAAGAAGAAGGCCACCAGATAGGTCCTTCTCCTGTGATTCTACGTCATGGAGAGGAGGGAAACTCTATTTATAATCACCCCACACAAACCAGGTTTACACTGACCATGATACCGTATGACAGTTCCAGCAGATGAGCAGCTTGGGGATGACTACATTGCCACTGTCTACTAGCCATGGTCACAGCCTCTGGTGTGGCTAATTCATATTACAGTAATGGGAAGGGGCAGGGTCAGGAGAAATATCCCACGATAAGACTGCCCAGTCACCTGAAGGTCTTCTGGGCATTTGCCTTATATTCCTTGGCACCCATTAGAAGAATGGTCCCCAGGGAAAATGGTTCTTGTCTGAAAATCACCCAGGATAGCCTGGGAAGTGCTGCACTGACTTAAAAATGTTTGTAATGTGCAAAAAGAGGAAGGTTAATTAGCACTTTTCAAACTCCAGAATCCCAGGTAATACAACAATAAAGCCCTTCTTTTCCCCGCTCACAAAAGTTGAACTGATTTCCTTGGAAAGCATTTAACTAGCTTGGACAAAGAGGCACCAGTACAGAGAGTTAGAAGTGCTGATGGTTCTTTAAAATTATTTAGGAGCCAGGCCTAATTTCAAAGGCAGAAAACTAACTAGCTATGTATAATCCTTGAGAGGTTGCTATAATTTCTCTTTCCCTTTCTTGCAAGCAAGAAGAGAAATTGATTGCTATAGTGTGGAACAAGAATAAATCTGACACAGGCAAGTCAATGGGGGTAAGAAACAGTGTTTGTAGATGAGTTACATCAAAAAATGGAAAAGTTTTGTAGGAGAGGGAGGAAGACTCACTTTAGAAACTGAAGGCAGAACCTTAGAGAGGACATCACTGTCTCAGATCCATTTCTATGAATTTATCAAATGAAACATAATTGTCTACTATGGTGAAAAAAGAGGCATAGTACAGTAAAAATGAACACAACTTTTTTTTTTTTTTTTTAGCCATGGGAGGACAAAAGATTTAATTCCTTCACTGTCTTTTCATTCGAGAAAGTGAAAATCATTGCCATATTATGGGATACACTCCCTCAGCAGGAATCCACATTCAGTAATCAGGATTGTTTTAAGGAGCAAATACTTGTCAATTCTCCAGTGAAAAAGCTTTTGTCTTGTTTAAGTCTAAAGTTACTTCCATGTTCCTCAGCTGATTTTGGTATAATTTCAATAGAAGAATGAATGAAAATGAAAGCTTTGTCCTGTGGTCCATGAGGACCTATACCAGATTAGTAAAGAGAAAATATAAGTATGTGTGCTAATACTTAGTGGCCTAGAGTCCTCAAAATAAACAATAGCTGTGGCTTTAATCTCATACTGCAATCACATCAAACTTTCTATCTTTTAAACATGTGTATTAATAGAGCTATCTCCTCTCTTCGAACCCCACCACTGGCCCTTCCCTTACCCTTCTATTTTCTCAAATTTGTACACACTCCCTGACCCCCTTTGTTTAGGTATGAGCCACAAATCCTAAGTAAAGATAAACTTTACCAACTGGGAGTTTTTCCTTTAGAAAGCTCCCAATTGTTTTGACTGTTTTTGGAGTGTTTTTGGCTGTTTTGGTTTTGAAATGTGTTTTCTCAAATAAGCACAATATCCAGAATGAGTTTGCATTAAATGAATGAAAAATCGAATCAGTGGAAACCATTTGAACATGCATGTGCGGCATAGCTTTAAATAAAATTCACTTTATGAATCAATAAGTGAAATGGCAAAAAGGAGAGGTGGATATTATTTGAAAGATGACTGTTTAAACACAAAACCAACACAGAGGGAAGAGAGGTTTAGAAAGGTACAGAAAAAAAAATCCACACCAGGTAACACCAGAGGATGCAGGGCTACATTTGTCACTGAAGAATCATTGTTCTCTTGTGTCTGAATTCCAGTGCTTTCCAAATAGATGGGAAGATGATGAAAAATGGAGCAGCTTCTTTTATTTCTTCTTCTTTCCTCCTTGAATTCTAGTACGAGACAGTTCTCTGCCTGCCACCAAGGCAGAAAGCAGCACTTCGCTCACCTGCTCTTCAGCCTGGCAGGGTCCCACGCTCAGTTTTCCAGCATAGCTGCAGGGTGCTATTGTAATGACTCAGGGATGGTGCTGACAGCGTGGGCTGCCTCTGTGGCTGCGGGAGGGGAGCCAAAGAAGGTGTTGGTTTGATTCCTCTGCTGATCTCGGAGGTAAGGAGGAACTGATGAGCTTTTGATGTGGAGGATCCTGGTGTCCATCACCTGACAGTCAATCTGCATCATCACTTCGTAGTCCTGCCCATTGATCACATTCTCTGCAGGCAGGAATACACACAAAGAATAAATATTCAATAGAATGTGCATCTCTGCCATAAGCTTTAGCCCCAGAAAGACAGAAATGTGTTTTAAGCCTGTGAACTGTCAATAAACTTTCAAGGGTACAGAGGGACTCTCAGTCACTAAGCAGAGCTACAGGTGGGCAGGGTGCCAGGATGGCCTGTCCTCTCCCAATTCTAGCTCCCAAACAACCTCCATTGACTAAACAAGGGCTAAAGCAACTACCAGGGTTAATAACGCCACAGAGCATCTGTCCACAGACATCGTATATCTTGCATGCTTTCCGTGCAGTGTATTACTCTGGTTACAGTAACTGGAACAGAAGGGGTTTTTAGTGGGGAATACAGAGAATTCCTAAGTCCTCTTTCCTGCCTTCAACAATGGAAAGAAACAACTGTCAAAAGGACCAGCATTCCATGGGAATGGTAAGGAGACACTGGCCAAGTGTGCTTAGCTCCTATTCATCAGTAATATTTCTGACTTCATTAAGACACTTCCAACTACGAATGTAAAGGTTTGCCATTAGGAGCGCGAGGTACAGTGAAAACTGATAAGTTATAGACATCCGACAATTATGCTCTTTTCCAGAGATCACTTCTCTTCCATATTGAGGAGATCTTTATTTCCAGAGTTCCTGATTCCAGGCACAAAGTGTCAAGTACAATTCCAACATGGAATTAAAGGGAGTCTATAGAACTTGCAGGTAAGCTAGAGAGTGTGTGCAGAGGGAATGGGAAAACCATGCGGAGCCATGCTTTCTACATAAGGGGCAACTCATTATCATGAGTTTAAATACACACACAGACTATATTCCACTCCTACTTCCTACGAGGATAAAAGCTCTTGATTTTAGGGAGAGGACCAAATTACTCCCTGATTTGTAATTCTGGGTGGTCATTTTCCAACTTGTAGTCAATGAAACTTAGACATAAAACTGATGAGAAAATTATAAATAGATAAAATTTTGAAGCCCAGCTGAATAATCACAGCAATACAGTAAAAAGATGTGTGAACGTGGAAGAATTATGAGTAGGTAACAAGGCATCTGAGTTTGGCATTTTCATCCATGAATCCAGAGCAGGGTGTGGGGCTGGGGAAGAACTGCTGGCGACAGCCTAGTTCTGTACTGCCTTTCTACGAAGATGACACACAGCCAACCAATGATTTTTAAAATTAAACATTTGGCTTTTTCAAGAGAAAGAATTGAATTTAAATGTAGAATTATTTCTATTCTACTTTTTTAAAAAAAAAATTTAACTTTGACACTGAGCATGCCAAGCATTACAAATCTGGAGGAAGAAAATCCAAAGTCTGATATTTGATCTTCAGATTCCATTGTTACGTACAGGACAACTACGCTGTGGAGCTTGTCACTTAGGGAGCTAAAACAGGACTTTGGAGATCATCTAGTCCCGGGTGTCCTAAATTTGGGTCTAATTTACAGACTTCATGGAGTCTGGAAGTTCCCTGAAATCATATGCAAAGTTTTGTGTGTGCATGTTTTTGGAGAGAGAGGCCATCAGATTCTGAATGGGGTCTGTGGCCCCCAAAAGTTAAAAATTACTAGACAGTTCTAATCTACCAATTCTAAGTGCCTTGAGCAGATGATATATTCTATTTTAAATCCAACAGAATACATAATTCCTCCACTTCTGTTGGTCACTCATTTGTTCCAATGTTTAAAATAGTCTTCATTGATGATAAATTTCCCATTACCAGTCTTGAAAATCTCTTCCATTATAGTTGAAGTTAATTTCCTTCTTTCCCAGCCTCAGCAGGGATGAAGAACAGCTGGTTGCTGCTACGTATTAACTAACCCTACCTATTCTTTAAGACCACTGTTACGGAAGCTTAACTCCAATTTCACAAGTACGGCTGCTTTGCAATGGCTATTACTTATCTTTACAGAAATAAATTTGAAAGTCTATAAGTTAGCCAATGTTTCTTATCACAGTGTTTTCCAAAAAGTAGGAGATGAAAGAAAGAAATCTTGTTAATGTGCTTGGAGTCATTTCATTTAGGACACGTGACTAAGTTCAGATTTCAAGGCGCCACACCAGTCATTTCCTTTTGGAACCATAGTCCCTCTCTCCCCATTTTAGAAAAACTGAAGGGCTGTGTGTGTGTGTGTGTGTGTGTGTGTGTGTGTGTGTGTACGCGCATGCACTGTGGAAGACCAAATAATGGAAAACACATGTATCAGAGACATGCAATACACATTACTAATTTTTACTGGTTTCCTGGATTAACTCAGAATCCAGATGACAGTTTAAGATCAAGACCAAGTTCTCTAATACAGCCCAAACCACCTGCAGAAGTCATTAGAGCCCATGTGCCTGTTATAGTTTAAACTGATAACTGGGGTTTTTAAAAGCTTTAAATATGAAGAAGAGATGGAAAACCTGGGAATATAAGCTCAGATGCTTTGAGGAACATGTAAAGCTGTGATCTGATTCCAAGACTCAGGAGTTCCTAGCCATGGTTGGAATGGCAATGTCATCTTAAGCCCAACCAGAAGGAGACTCAGGCTAGGTTTGGTCTAGGTGGCTTTAAAATGGGATCTCTTCCTCACACTCTTCTTCTGAAGGTAACAAATTCTGGACCAAGGAAACTATCAGCATTGCTAGAAGACGACTCTACCAGATAGCATGTGAATGCCTGAAGCTGAAGTCAGGAAGCTCCTTGACAAGTTGGATAGTTCAGTGTTTGGGGTAACATGCCATTAGGAGTCCCAACATAGCCACACCTCTATAAAGGATAAAGGAGTCACAGCAACATTCTCTGGTCTACTCTATGAGACATTATAAAAAGGTTCTTTGAGTGGCTTAGTACTAACACCCTTGGACAGTTAGTGAGGCAATCTCATCATTACTGATGAGGCTTTAATGATTTTAATTAAAGGAGGACACAATTTTAACAAAATTAAAGGAGGGCCACCAGCTTGTGGTAACTCACGATCTTCGCAGGTCCCTCCCCTGGGTGGCTGGGCATCTGTTTATACAGTACGCACCCAGGAGCAGCAGAGAGCCCCCAAAACTCCTCTTAATCGTGGCAGATGAAGCTCCTGCTACCCTTTACTTTAAGGCTTTGAGTTCCGGCCACCCCTGGGAAGAAAGGCACCTTCAATCATTGCCTACAATTTGCCCGTCAGTGTGAATAAAAATTATCAGATCAAGTTTTAACTGCGGAAACAGAGAAGACTCTGGCTTAGATGGGAAGGAAAGGAAGGTCTCCTGAAGGAAAACACAGGCAGGGATGTGAAACACTGAGGATGGACCACACCCTTTCATTAAGGACCAGGTCTTCACTGCTAATATGCAGGGCTCTAGTAAAGAGAAAGCAGTAAAATCATGGGTTTTATGACAAAACAGAACATGGTCAACATTAGATCAGCGAGTTGTGAGAGCTGAGTTATGTGCAAAGACTGATGAACCATTTTTGTAAATGTAAATTTAATGAAAAAAGACCATGACTTATTTAGGAAAAATAGAACCAAATGGAATAGTACTGGAGTGAAAACGTTAAAGGTTCACTCTTCCCTCAGCACACATTTGGGCACTGCACAAATGGTTCAAATCTTATGTTCTGGGCTTTCTGAGTAAACAAGAATGAGATAAACACTGAACTGAGTCAGGAAACGGGTATAAAATATGATTAATTCAAATTCAAAATTAATCAGGCAAATAAAAAGGAAAGAGCTAAATGGCTTCAAACATGAGCAGTAAACTATGATTCTGAATGCCCAGAAGGGTTGGAGAAGCCAGAAAAACTGTCTGGACATTGGAGGTGGAAAAACTCTAGGCAATGTGGAATTTCAAACAACCTGTTAACATGCAATAACTGAATTAAGCATGGCCTGCCAAGAGACTGTTAGCTGGGAGATGACTAACACACAAGCCAGAACCTTGACCATAAACAATTAAATATCTAAAAATTTCACACAAAGTTTAATATTAAAAAGTGGTAAGACTTCACCAGTACTTTGCAAAGAAGCATAAATAATGAGATTTCTATTCAGAATCAAACACTAATCCTAAAAAGAGGTAGCTTTCTCTGTGTAAAGTAGGCTGGTGACAGGCAGTGCTGCTGAATATGTGCCTGAATCCCCTGGGGTGTGGGATACGCATGTGTGGGGCATGGAAGGTAAATAAATATCAACTCACACATGGACCATGACAGACACCTTCAAAAAGAAAGAAAGAAAGAAAGAAAAGAAAGAAAGAAAGAAAGGAAGGAAGGAAGGAAGGAAGGAAGGAAGGAAGGAAGGAAGGAAGGAAGGAAAGGAAAAACAAGGGAGGTGGGAATACAATGAACAAGGAAATGGCAGAATGCCATGTTTTTACTGTGGTTTCTAAGAACTTCCCTAAGTTAACTCTACTATGCCATTCTTTTTTTTTTTTTTTGAGACGGAGTCTCATTGTCTCCCAGGCTGGAGTGCAGTGGCACGATTTCAGCTCACTGCAAGCTCCGCCTCCCGGGTTCATGCCATTCTCCTGCCTCAGCCTCCCAAGTAGCTGGGACTACAGGCACCCACCACCATGTCTGGCTAATTTTTTGTATTTTTAGTAGAGACAGGGTTTCACCATGTTAGCCAGGATGGTCTTGATCTCCTGACCTCGTGATCCACCCACCTCGGCCTCCCAAAGTGCTAGCATTACAGGCGTGAGCCACCGCGTCCAGCCAGCCATTCTTACCTCTAATTTTCAATCTGAGTCCTGGTTTTGACCATCCCTACACACCATGCACTGCATTTCTGTTAGTATTTTTTTCCTCTGCTTGGCAAACAAACAAACCCCCTCCTTTCCTGCTCTTTTCTGCCCAGTCTAGTTTTCTACTTAGTTCAATTCTGTTAATTCTCTGAGGCCCACTTCTTCGAAACCTTCCATAGGAACTCCAGTATTGATCTTTTCCCTTATAACCAATTTATAAATGTTCCATTTAATTGAATAATGTTAAAATACCTTTAGAAATGAGGTTT